TCATGGCCCCTGTTCATAAGCCTTAAGTCTGGCAGCTGGCTCTGTGTAGGCTTTTGATGGGCTCCTGTCACCTCTCACAGTGGCTCTACAGGCTTTCAGGATCCTCACTTTGGTCTAGCTTGTGATGGACATGGATGCGGTTGAGCTTGCCTCATTTCTTGAGACATTGGAAGGCAAGGCGCACCCAGTCCTGGTGTGTGGTGCACTGACAGCTGAGTGACTGTTGGTTGGGAAGGCTATGTCACACACCAGGCTGCCGGAGTGGGTATCTGCCTTGCTGAGAGGTTCCCAGCTACACCCCAGGGAGGCATCCAGGGTCACACACTGAGGTCCATGCAGCAGCCAGGGCATGGCAGGTTGATGTAGCGAGTGTCACCGTAGAGGTCAGTGCAGAAAAGAGCTGTCACACAGCTCTCTTGTGTTTTTTGAAGCACAAGCATTTGCTCATTTTCTGTTTTGGCTTTAAAACCTAATTTCCCTTCTCTGACTACTGGGAATGGGGAAGTGTGTCCTCTTGTTTCTAAGACCAACAGCCTGTGCATTTTTCACCTTTGGGAACAATCAGTTCCTCTTTTGGACCCCCAGTGTTTTGTCTGAATATCAGGACCAGCTGGGATCTCGGGTAAAAATGGGAGCCTCACTTTAGCTTTTCAGGCTCCACCCTCTGGACACTGCATCCCACCCAGAGCATCCCCAGTGGCTGTGGTGCGATGACAGAGCAGATGGTGCTTCACAGGCCTGGGGCCACGGGACAAAGTGGCTTACTCTTCGTGGTCCAAAGGTCAAAGGACAAGCTTAGCTCTCAGGCAAGTTCGTTGCTCATAACTACGGACGCAGGTGTAGTTGGAGTTGCTCTGCCTCCGTCCACATAGGGAGGGACTTGGGCTGGACGAGAGCCAAGTTCACACACAGACCTGAAGTTCTGTAATGCTATGGGTGCCAGCTATTAAATACACAACTAAGCTGGGCACACCTGCACCAGGCCACGTACGAGGTGCGTTTCCTGTGTGTACATTGCTGAAACTTCTGCACCTTTCAAAGCTGACTTTCAAGATGGAGAAAGCAGAAGTTTGGGGAGTCAAGCTGGGGACTGGGCTGTGCAGTCTTTACTGACTGCCCTCAACAAAAGTGACCACAAAGCCTGTTACTTATTTTTTTTTTTAATTTACTTTTTCATTGTGGGGGAAAACACAAATTTTGCGTCTTAAGTATTTAGTTCAGTGTTACTAAGCACCTTCACCTTCTTGTGCAACCCGTAGCATCCTCGTGTTGAGTAAGAGTGGGAGTGTGGAGGCCCTGGTCTCTTTCTGACTGTAGAGGAAATGGTTTCAGTTTTTCCCCGTTTAGTATGACGTTCACTGTAGGTGTCTCATAGCCTTAATTATGTTGAGGACTGTGTCTTCTGTTCCTAGTTTCTTCAGAGCTTTTGTCATGAAAAGAGGTTGAATTTTGTCAAAGGTTTATCCTGCAGCAATGGAGATGGTTGTGTTTTTTGACTTGGGTTCAGTGGATGTGCTGTGTTACACTTTCATCGCTCGAATAAAACCAACTTGGTCATGGTGTGTGATCCGTTTTATGTGCTGTTGAATTCTGTTTGCCAGTATTCTGAGAGGTGTTGGGTCTGTGTTCATCAAGGGAATTGGTCTAGAATTTTCTTTTATTGTTGTGTCTTTGTCTGATTTTGGGATCAGTGGGAAACTGTCACACAGAATGAGCTTGGTAGCATTCCTTTCCTTTTTTCATGGACTAGTTTGAGGGGTGTTGGTGTTGGTTTTTCCTGGAAGGTCTGGTAGACTATTTATTACAGCTTCATTCTCATTGTTTGTTCTAGGTCTATTTGAGTGGTTTACATCCTCTTGGTTCAATTTTGGTAGGTCAGATGCATCTAGAAATCTATTTACTTCTCGCTTTTCCAGTTTGTTAGAATCTAAGTTTTCAAAGTATTCCATAATGATCATCTGGATTGCATTGATATTTGTTATTATATCCCCTTTTCGATCGCTGATTTTATTAATTTTGGTCTTTCTCTTGCATCTTTTGGTTAGCTTTAGCCCTTGGTTTTTTGAGACAGGATCTCACTTTGTAGCCCAGGCTGGCCTGGAACCTGCAATCCTCCTGCCTCAGCCTGAGTGCTGGGCTTACAGGCGTGTACCATTGCATTCAACTCTGCTAACTCCTCATCTCCCTTTTCTTCAGTGCTTAAGATCTGATCAGTTAATATGGCATTTTCCATGCTACATTGTAATTTACATTATTTCACCTGTCATTTAAACCAGGCTGCTAAGGGGCAGACAGTTTCTGTTCAAAAATGATGTGTCTTTTCTGGTATTCAGCAAGGGTTCTTCAAAGTGTTCTGGTGTGACAAACGCTTGTTTAATGAATGCAGGTGGCAGAGAAGGAGGCACAAGAACACAAGGATGCCTGTGCAGATGGACACGCCTACACTGTCTGGCCATGGCCGCTTTCCTGATAGCACAGCACACATGATTCTCCAAGTTCTGACACATTTTGTCCTCTGCAGGATTATCTGCCTCTCCCCTGAAGATACTCTGCACCCCAGAAGGAATCAGACTCCAGTGTTTCATGAAGTACTTCACAGAGGAAATGAAAGTCAACTGGTATCACAAGTAAGTATGGGGTCAAGTGACTGTGGCCGTGCCAGGCTCGTGGCTATACATGGCGTTCAGCAGCAAATGCCCAGCTCCTTCCGTGCCCTGGGGGCTTTGCAGTTCCCAGTAGTTGAGAGAACCTTTGGCTGTGCATGGCTGACCAGCAGCGGGGAGGGCCTGGGTGAAAGAGCAAGAAAGAAAATGCTCAAAGGTGTTGGGGACGAATTCCTCAAGTCTGGTGAGCACCAGAGGTGGCCCTGCTCGTATCATGTTTCATGTGGGAGTGAGCAAATTGCTGCTCAGAAACCAGGCTCAGATTCCCGCCAACAGGTTCCCACTAGATTGAGTAAAAAGACAAGGACCCTAACAAGCCCAGTAATCAAAATGAAGAAGGGTCAAGACCAAGCTGTGTAAACAGCTTGCTTCTCCCTGTCATGCTTCTCCCTGTGGGACAGGACTGACTGCTTAAAACAGATGCTAGGAGATGCCCCCATGAGTCACCCATGGGGAGATCCTGCCAGCTCCTCCCCCAGGGGTCTGGCTCTTCTGGTCTGGCTCTTCAGATCTGTGTTCCAGGCTCATGCTGAGACCAGCCAGCGAGAGGGACCTCTCTGTGTCAGGGTCACCATCCCTATAGGACAATCCACAGACCAGGGTGGGCCTGAGGTGGGGCAGCAGAGCAGGGCTTTGCCTTTCTGTCCACCTCATCTCTAACCTGAGGGCCCCAGGGCAGCATCTTCAGGTCCATTGTAAATGGTGTCACAACCAGATCTGCTGCTGCTCGGAGAACTGTCCCCAGAGTGCCACACTGCGAATACTTTGACAGAAAGTTGTGGTTATGATTATCTCATTTTTAAAAATATTATTTTGTCTAGACAAATCTATTTGTGATTAAATTGTAGTTCTGAAGGGGACATATGTTCTTGGATTTTTCCCTGTTCACATTTTAACGTGCCACGCATTTGTCTTGGATGTTACCTTTGGACATAAAATAATGCATATCCGGGCTCCAGTGCATCTGGGCTCGTCGTGCATTCTGTGTTTTGGAGACGTCAGTGTCAGTGTCAGATGGAGTCACGACAGGTTGGCGTTGAGGACTTGGTTAGGAGTGTGTGTTAAAGGCAGGGCACCGAAACTCTGGTCATTTCTGTGATGTGATTGTTATAAGGATTTGTTTTTAAGGCAATGAGTAAACCTGTTTCCGGCTGAGATATCAAATCCATCGCCCCCTTCTCTCTGCTTCCTGGCTTATGGCTGCTTGTCTTGTGGTGGGCTACTCCAGGTCATTGTGTGTGTCTCATGTTACATCATGAACAAGCTGTGCCCAGGGCAGGCTGCCCTTCCTCACACTGTCAGGCTTTTCACAGGACCGTGCTGTGTGCTGGGTCTGGGGTGCAGAGATTAAGCTCGGGCCTGTGCACACCTTCATGAGCGCACAGGTGTGTGGATTTGCTCTGTGTCAGCACCGGCATGCAGCCACTTTGAGTTAAACACTGAGCACATCATTCCTCGTCAACACCCCATGACTTGGACATTGACACCTCCAAGTCACACATGTGCACACCGAGGCCTAGTGCAAGAGATGTGAGTCGCTTTGTACGAAGTTGTACAACTAGTGAGTGAAGAGGCGAACTGAATGCTAGCTCGTCTGAGCCCCTGTCCCCAAATGCCTCAGAAGCAGCAAGGCTGATGGGGGCTGATGACAGACAGACAGGGCAAAGGCCACAGGTCTGACCCACCCTTAATGCTGGATCAGAGCGGTCACTAGGGAAGGAAATATCACTGCAAATCCCAGACTCATAAGACTACACTACGCCCACATCTCCTCCTCCCAAACGTAACTTGTTATACAACAGAGCAGGTATTTTTCTTAGAACGTTTATAAGCAAATATGACCCTTAGACCTTGAATCGATAGGTAAGCAAACAATATGTGACTTTTAGCTCATTTTATTATTTTACTACTGAATAATATCAATATCAACCTATTGAACTATATTATGGGTTTATTTTCCACCACTAAAACATGACATTGGGTGAAATTCCAGTTTTTCACTATGAAGCGAGTTACAACCAGCAGCTGGAAGGAGAGTAAAATGGATGAATGCTGAGATGTGAGATGGCTTTTGACGTCAAGCCAGTCCACAGGAGACACAGGATCGATATGGTGCGAGGAGAATTTTGCAAATTGCCAACATAAGCAAGGAAGTTTGTTCTCCGGTTCCAAAATGTCGAGTCGTATGTCAAGAAATGTAGCCAGTGCCACCTCACAGAAAGGGCTGGAAATTATTCTGTGTGATTTAGAAGCAGAAGGGACTCAGCAAAAGTGGTCTCCAGAGAGAGGGTTTTGTTTTCCTGTGCAGGGCGGAATTGGGCCACCACACAGACGTGGCTAGACCTCAGTTGGTAAAGTACTGACCACAAAGGGACCCAGTCACTGAAGCAATTCTCTGTGTCTCCATAGAAAAGAAAAAACAAAACCAGCAAAACCATCACCTGTGTCCTCAGGTAGTACATTTTACATCAGTGTAGAGATTGAGCAAAATCCCCTGAATTCTCAGAGGACCCTTGAGCTACCGGAGAGAGGGAGAGTCACACCCCCGGCCCTTTTTGCTTGAGTTATTTTTTGAACAGGGTCTTGTGTTTTTGCCTGGGCTGGCCTGGCCTGCAACCCTCTGTTTATGCTTCCTGTGGAGTTGGGATGACAGGCGTGAGCTACCATACCTAGCTTATTGGGGTCTCATTAACTTTTTGTCAAGGCTTGTCTCAAACTCTGATCCTCCTGATTTCTGCCTCCAATGTAGTTACGGTTACAAGCATGAGCCACCACTTTTAGTTCTACTTGTTTCATCAAAATATCCTGTATAGTTCGGACGTGGTGGTGCAGGCAGCTGTGTTGGGAGGCAGAGGTAAGAGAATCTCAGTCCAAGGCCAGCCTGGGCAAAAGTGCAAAGCCCTATCTAAAAAATAACCTAAAGCAGAAAGGCTTGGGGAATGACTCAAGTGTTAGAGCACCTGTGTGTGGCGTGGCTGATGAGGTGGGAACTTGGTGGTCTATCAGCTTAAGGTTTCTCTTTCTGTTAGTGTGAATTAATTGTATAAACACTGGTGTTTTCATGCATGTGCACAATGTGCCATGCTCAAATCCGCCATCTTTCTTTTTACTTATTTTTCCATCCCGCCTTTAAAAACAATTTAGTGAGCTCATAGTTCCATCATATTCACCCCCTATGCCCTCTCCTTTCATCACCCCAAACAGTCCCAGTTTATAGTCCTTTCATTCATTTTCTAAGGTCTAGATTCTGCACCTGAGATGTACAACATTTGTCTTTTGGATCTGCCTTATTTCACTTAGAGTGGTCTCTGGTTCCATCCATTTTCCTGCAAATAATGTAATTTCAATCTTCTTTATGGCTGAGTAATATCCCATTGTGTACATGTACCACATTTTCTTTATCCACTCATTAGCTACCTAACATTAGTTTAGGTATTGTGAATAGTGCTACTGTAAACATGGATGTTCAGGTGTCTCTGTTACATGCCCAGGAGTGGTATAGCTGGGTTGTATGGAGAACAATCCAGTTTTCTGGGGAACACCATATTGATTTCCAGGGTGTCAGCTTAAGATGATTGGTCTGTTTTTATCTGTCTTTTCCTGAAGGGATTTTAGTCTTGCTTTCTTTCCTCCGTCTCTCACAGCAGACGTTTGAATGCCTTTCTACCTCTGCATAGGCACAGCCCATCCATGGATAATTTAGCTCCTGGAGGAAGAGTGACTTGAGTTGATGGAGGTCATCGTCCCCAGCCCTCAGACACACATAGCACGTGGTGTACTGGAAGTAAGCAGGCTGTGTAGTCACTGCTGGCTCTCAGGAGCCAGGGCTGGTCACACAGCTTTCCGAGCAGAGGGCAGATTCCTGGTGTGGCTGAACGTCCCCTTTCGAAAGACAGGGAGCACATCACAATCCTGAAGCAGCACCTAGTCACTGTGGGCGGGATGCAGTGTGGGGGACAGAGCTCAGGCCTCATCCTCGAGTCCACTCACAGAAACTCCTCTTCTGGCATCAGAGTCACCAACGGCATCATTGGTGATACCTGCTTCTGTGTGTGTCCCTGTGAACTGTAAAGAGCCAAGCCTGACCCTCGTGTGGACAGCTCAACAAAGAGGGTGGCAGGAAGACCAGGCCTCAGTCCTGGGCACCGTGCTTCTGTGCTCGGAGAGGCTTGGTATGCTTGTTGATTGGCTGTTTTCTTGGAGGGCTTATGTGTTGTCAATAAACTATTACAGCTGGTTCAGCTCCCCACAGGTCTATGGTTGCTGATTTGCTGATTTGTCTATTGACTTCAAGTGCCTTTGGGGACAAAGAAGGCTGCCTTAACCAAGCTGTGACCTTTCTTCTGGTGCCCATGTCCATTTGTTTGGCTTCTCACTGTTCTTGGCAGTTTGGAATTGGGGACGGAGTGGCCAGTCCATCACACAGTGCATTTGTAGTGAACGATTTTTTTCTTTTCTGCAGAACCGAGAATCACTGTGTGAAGTCTGATTTTTCTTTGTGTGTAGGGATGGGAGGTCTGAGTCCTGGAATGGCCTGTCCATCACTTTAGTAATGGAGATCTTGCTGTGAGCTAACAGGAGGCCTGGTGTTGTGCAGGTGCCACTCAGGGTAACACCTGCCTCATGCTATCTGCAGGGAAGAGCCAGGCCTGCTGGGGGGCAGCCTGGACTGTGGGCACTTGGCATTCTCAAGCCCCATGGTTCCTGACTGCTGACCTTGCTGTCATGGGGTCTTGAGGGAATAACCCCTCCTGCTCACCTAGTGGCCTGGGTGGACTGCAGACAAACAGCTGGCAAAGGAAAGGGTTGTGCTGCTCAGGTCTCCCTTAACCAGGCTCTGGTCAGTCACTTGCAGAACGGACCCCCTTGGGCTGAGGGACCTTTTGGGATTGTGCAGTTTGATTCCCTGTCCCCTTGCTTCTGGGGCACTGATAGAAGAGGGTGAACTAACAAGTTCTGGATGTGGGCTGTGCCAGGCATTGGCACATCTCACTGAATTCCTAGAACAGCCCTGTGAAGTGGGCGTTACTTTGTCCCTTACACAGAGGTTCAGAGAGGCTGAGTCCTCTGGAGCCAATTCCAGGAGCTCAGGACAGAAGCCACAGGCAGCCCTCCTGGCCCTGACCCCCACAGGGCTCTGCCTTCCTGAGAGCGCGGGATCCCATGTGCCCTCCTGCTAGGAGTGCTCTGCTGTCCACATTCACACGCTCTGACCTGATGGCCTTCAGCCCCACTTCTTGGCTTCTCTTGGAGCTGCCCCAGTTTCCTTCCCACTCTTCTCCAACTTCACCCCTGTGGGTACTCTGGTGTTCTGTGTTAATGTGGTCTGTGGACACACAGATGAGTGTCACCCACCTGAGCTACTTCTGTCTCCAGAGAATGTGTTTTTACTGTGGGCTTGATATATGGCCATGGAACATGAGGCAGGAGGCTGTCTTGGTGAGGAGGGCTGGAGAAATCTTTTACCTGGTGAGCCAGGGAGCACACGGAGGTTGGCGGGGGTAAGAAACACAGCTAAGCCATGGCTGCTTACAGACCAGGCTTACAAGCCATGGTTTGCTCTGCAAACCCCCGACCTGGCCGAAGTCATCCAGCTCTCACCGTGGAGCTGGTGCATGAGAGAAGGGGTCTGCGTTCCAGCCTGTGTGGCCCTGAAACGCTGACCTCATGAGCCTGTGCTGCGACTTCTGCAAGGTCATCTCTTGTCTACAGTAAGTGGGTCAGCTTGGCCTGTGGTGGATGTGGTGGAGTCAGGAGGCACTGACTTCATTTTTACCCAAACCTTACACGTTGTGGGAGTGTACATGTATACAAAATTTACCACTGTAGCCGTTTGTAAGTGTACAGCCACCATCACTGTCCACATCCAGAGTGGGCCATTTATAAAACTGAACCTCTGTCCCCATTAAACACGAATCCGCCATCCCCTCCCCTGGCATTCCTCATCCTCTTTCTGACTCTGAGTGTGACAACTCCAGGGACCTCACAGGGCTGGAAGCGTACAGTGTTCTCTTACTCACTGCTCATTTTACTTAGCATAGCGTCCTGAGGATTCACGCATATTGTAGAATGTGCCAGAATTCCCTTTCCTTTTAAGGCTGAATAATATCCCACCATATGGATAGAACACAGTTCACATATCAGCTCATCTTCAGTGGACACGTGGGCTCACAGGCTGGCTGTTGTGAGAAGTGTTGCTGCAGACGTGGCTGGGCACGTGTGTGTCCACTCTTCTAAACCCTTTTTTGTACAGACCCAGCAGTGGGATTGCTGGACCACACCGTCATCCATTGTTTAATGCAGCGAGGAAGATCCATTCTGTACGGAGCGTTTTGAAGTCCATCATGCTGTGACAAGTGTATATTAATTGATAATGTATCTTTAAAATTAAGTATTATTTGATCTTAAGAGGTGTCAGGTCTGAGTTACTGATATGCTTAGTAAATTTGTTAAAGCCAGAAAAATCTATTGTACTATTAACATTAGCAAGTGCTTAAGAGCGGCCTCCTCATATGGAAATGTTAGGACTGCCACTGTGACCTGAACACGACCCTGTCACTTTTTTTTAAAGAGATGCTAAGATTTCATCCAGTGAGCACATGAGGATTGGAGGGAGCGAGGAGATGGCATGGCTGCAGATCTGTGAGCCCACGGAGAAGGACAAAGGGAAATACACTTTTGAGATCTTTGATGGCAAAGACAACCACCAGCGCTCCCTCGACCTGTCTGGACAAGGTAGGAGAAGCAGGCGTTGGCACCTGCCCCTTGTGCTGGGAAGAGGAGATCAGCAAATGATCCATCTGGTTTTATAATTTTCATTCAGAGAAAGCTAGCTCTGTAAACTCACTATCAGTTACTATCAGTTTTCATGAACTGAATGTCTGAAGCACTTACTGACTGTGAAATTTTCCCTTCCAGCGTTTGACGACGCCTTTGCAGAATTCCAGCAGCTCAAGTAAGATGCACACGTTTGGTTTTTATTCTGTCAGAGAGAGTCTGGTTGATGGGGAATCATTCTGGCTGTGGACGGGAACATCTTAGTGCAGTTTAAGTAATTCAGCAGCAGAAGAGCCGGCATTCTTCTGAACTAGAAACGCACCTATGACTTGACTTTCTAGGGGCATTAGGAACCTGGGGTACCTTAAATGATTAAAGTGACAAATTTCTGAAAACGTGACAATCACAGTGACCTGTTACACAGATCAACTTTCTCAAAGAATGGTTTGAGATTCTCAAACAAGTCTGAGCCTCGGGGTATCCAAAGCTGAGATCAGCTGTTGGCCCTTATGAAGTTATTT